TACTCAAATGAAAAATTTTACGTTGGGAGACAACTATAATAAGCATAGAATCTATGAAAGTACCAGGTGCAGCCTCAAGTCTTTGTCACTATTATATAATTAAAGTTTAATTTACCTGCTCTCAGTGACGGTTTATCTGAACAGACCCGCTCAATTTTTTTTTTGGAAAACGTTTGGATGAATAATTGTTTAGTGGATTGAGTTGACATGTCTCTGCGCTGAAAAAAATAAAATTTAGAAATATTCTCCACATCATAATGCAGTCAGTGGTTGCTTTTTTTGATCGACCTCTATTATATTGTCAATCCAACTGATCATATTTTTTTTCTATTCTGACAAGTGACAACCACAACAATACATCTTTTCCTTTTTCTCCCACCCCCCACCCCCTACTTGTATTTACCTACCGTAGTACTCTAAAGGTGTACCCCATTTGTCCATCACCTCCTCCATAATCACTCAAATAGGTAAAAAAATTAAAAAAAAATATGCAAATAAAAATCAAATCCAAATGAGTGGTTATGGAGGGGGTGGGGAACAAATGGAGTACACCTTTAGTGTATCCCTAGCATCTCCCATTTTACAACAAGCCACCAAATTATCATTAAAATTCAATTTATCTATTCTCAATGATTGTTCGATCGCGTCTGAGGGACTTTTCAGGAATGAAATTTATCTTTTTTTTTGCATTTACAACAAATTAATGTGAAAAAATAAAATCATTTTGTCGAATTAATCTATACATTTTTCCATTACAAAAAGTACTTAAAAAATCACATTTTTTCAAGTTAATAATCTTTCTATTATTTCTAACGGAAATTCAATCACTCACATTTTAATTGTTACTCCCTCCGTCCTAAAACCATCTTTCTGTTTGTGTTTACGAGGTTTGACCGACTTTATTTTCAATTCAATTTATTTGATTGTAGGTGTAAAATTAAAAAATAAAATTTACATATTTAAAAACTACAATAAAAGTTCTACAAAACGAGAGGTGACAAGGCTATATTATTTTATCAAATAAGTAACGAAAATAAGTAAAGAAAGTGATTTAAGTTTGATCGTGTGAATAGTAACTGGGAAGATAGTTTTAGGCAAAGACGGTGTTTGTCTCTTACTATACTTTTTTTATACTCCCTTCGTCCTATATCTTTCTTCCCGTTGCGCAAAACAAAGGAAACTTCCAAGTTTTTTCAATCTATTTTATTTAAATATTGGTATAGAAATAAAAAATAAAACATACATATTTAAAAACTACATCAAAAGTTCAACAAAACAAGTGGTGACAAAAATATTTTATTTTATCATATAGGTCATGAAAAAACACAAATAAATACAAATTCCCGTGAAGTTGGAATAGTGCTCTGGGAAGAAAGTTTTAGGACGGATGGACTAATGTACATGATTATGAATGATAATGTAAATTTATTTTAACTCCTATTCCGGGAATAAAAACATGAAACTCTTATTTTGATATGTTTTTAATGTTTTACTCTCAATTCAGTCTTTTTCCCTTTTCTCTGCTAGTCTTTACTGGTTTACTGTGGATAAGTAATTTTTAGCTATAAGGTTGTTCATGGAAGTAAAATAACTCAAATGATAGTTAAGTTGTTTGGTAATATTTATAAAATCAGGGATATTTTTCTAAATAATCTAATCAAAATATAAAAATAAAACACTAATTTAAAACAAGTATATTAGACCTAATTAATTATTACTCCGTATTAGGTAAATTCCCAATTCACATCATCTAAACCAAAGTATCTTATAAATTAGCTTATAACATAGAATAATATGTCATCAATTGACTTGTAAATTCAAAACAACTTATAAACAATTTGAACTATAGAGATACACTCACAAGGTCTCATTGTATATTACGATGTTCAATTCACTTTGTTTATATAATACAAGCAATATAAACTTTGAAATAAAATTTATACAACATTTTTTTATGGGAGTAATGGTGTAGGATTGTAAAATTTTAAAAGTAATGATGTACGGAGTATTTTTTTTCTTTTTTTTTTTATAATGAAAAACGATGAACTCCATTTCCGAGAGTTATCTCAGATCCAGTTGGACGATCATTGAGAATATATAGTTAAAATTCAAAATATGAAGTCATTAAAAGGGCAAAATAGTGGACTCCCACTTGGCTGGGCAGCAATCCGTGCCAACGATTTAAATGCTCATATTGCATTTAAATGTTTCCTTTGGCAAATAAATGAAAAAAAACACACATTCAAGATTTCGAACAATAATTAAATAAAAACATACACCCCCACACAATAACTAATTAGTGCATACGAGTTAAATATTACAATCAAATCCCTTCACTGAAGTTAAAATTAAAATGAGTTTTCATCATTGTTGAAGTTAGTTCAACTCAAGAGCTTATATACCAATTATTTTACTCTTGAACTTCCGATGTGGGATGATATTCTAACAAGAATCAACACCACAATTGCTTTGGCTTCATTATATGGTTTACTTTGCAGTGGGAGGAGGTCGTTGGGTCACAAAAGTTGGAAATCACCGGGGGGATGATACTCCGTATTTAGTTATAAAATAAATTTAATATATTTGAATTTTTTAAAAATTTTATTTTGTTATATAAAAATTTTATGATATTTGTTTATTTATATTTTATTTATGGTCAAAGAGTATTGTTGGGTGTTTAATAAGTTTTTTTAAAAAATCAAACTAGGATAATAAGTTTGAAATCGAGAGAGCATATAAAAATTTATGAAATGATTGCTACTCCGTATAAATTAAACTTATTATTTGATTCTTATTTTTGGAATAATAGATAGTACGATAAATTATGGAGTACGAAGTATTTGTTAATTGGACAGGTTCTATAGTTACTCACTTTGAATGAGTAGAGAAGACATTGTTTCAATTGAGACGCATATGGTACTCCATTCGTAAAATAAATAGTTCTATCTTCATTACCCATTTACCCCCCTAGTCCTGATCCGAATCTATCTTCTACCCAAACTAATTGCAGGGTGGGAGTTTAGTTAAGTTTTGAGAGAAAAAGGTTAAAAAACTCAATATGATAATTTCAATATGAGTCATAACACATTTTCAATAAAGGTTAGAGGTACTCCGAATTAGTAACTATGGATTCTTCCTCCCAATAACACAAATAGAATCTTAAACACTTATCAAAATATGTTACTTCAACCATTTTTTGCATTATGAACAGTGTGAAGAATAAATATATTTCAAGATTACAAAAAGCAAATTAACTCTCACCACTAATTTGGAACAAAGAACAAGAAATTAGAACCATCAACTAATGAACAATAGTGATGTGTTGTTTTTTTGGGTTGGAAAAATTAATTCCTACTTTTATTGGGAAAAAACTAAAGTAAGAATAAAATATAGTTAATATACTAAAATAAGAGTTCCATATTTTTATTTTCAAAATAGAAGTCAAACATGCATGTCATATATAATACCAAAAATTATTGTGAATTGTCCATATACAATGACACATTATTATACTGCAAACTCATATTTTAGAGATAAATATATAAAACTTCTATTTTGATACTTTATATACGTTTTACTTCTTTTAAGGTGCATGATTTCCTAACTTTTTTGACTCCTTCCAATTTCTTGTAACTCTTTGCATTTTCTCTCAACTTCATCTAACAACTTAAAAATAGTATTTATATATGTTGAATATAAAATAAAATTATATATGCAACTTTATAACATACCACATCACTCACAGAAAAAGATCATTTTTTAATCTAAAATTATACTTTTCTTACATTTTTATTGAGTTAATCATTTAATTGATTGACTTTTTAGAAAAATATTAATTGTGGTATCTTTTTGGAATGGAAGAAGTATATTCACTATATTGTACGGAGTACATGCTCACTAATGAGAAGGAAATAATTCTTGCAAATAATTTTACAGATCAAAGTATTTTTACTCATATTTTAACTATATAATAACTCTCGTTTTAATATTTTCATAGTCCAAATTTCCTTTGTCCTATATATTTCCTCTGAGTGTATATTCTAACTTCATGGATTTTTTATTTCCTTTTTTCATGGTTTATAAGATAAAATAAAATATTCTTATCACTACTTATTTTTTTAAACTTTTAATATATATTTTTAAATATATAAATTTTATTTTTTCATTTTTATTTAATATTTAAATAAAATAAATTTACAAAACTTGCTTTTTTTTTTAATTTTACGAAATAGAAGAAAAATATGATGAGAGAGTATTATTCTACTCTAATGTGAGTATTTCTAATTTTCTATACTTCCCTAAAAGATTGTCACACCATTTGACTACGAATTATGGAAAAATATATATAGTTATAATGTAAATTTAATAAAATTAAATTTAATTTAAAATTTAGTTTTTAAATGTCAAATTTTAAAATATTTACTTATTTTGAACTAAATTTAATTCGCGGTCAAAGAATACTACATTTGACCAAAATAATTGTACCTTGTCAATTTTTTAGGGATGGAGGAGGGAGTATTTAATGGTTGAATGTACGTAACTTTATTAAGGAGTCGTCTTTTCAACATGATCGTTTGTACGTACTATTGTCTTTGAATTGCTATATGCTCACTCGGTCGGAGCACTACGTCTGTCCACTATTTGTAAACAGTCATTTTTTACACGGTTTTCGGGTCAACTTTTTTACCGTATTTTTTTTTTAAAAAAAGGTGAAACGCGCCCTTCAAGCACTTCCACAACTCGGTCCGACAAGATTGTGGAGAGGTAAAACATGACCCAATCTTAATCGAGTCCTTATGGTGTTTTAAAAGGTCATGATTTAGTACATCAAAATGGTGTACCCAATTTGTACACCAGGCAAAATTTTGTGATGTCTAAGCATGCTAATGTAGTAAGAAGAAATTCGCTCCACGCCCACATTGGCAGCTTCACTGGTCTAAGATATATTGGATTTAGAATAAGAGATCAAAGATTGAGCCTTACAAGCAGTATTGTAGGAACAATCTCTCAAAAAAATGAGGAGACTTCTTGTACACAGACACACAGTAAGCACTGATCCCAGTCTCTGTTTCCGTTGAGTCGCCGTGATTTACATTCTATCATAATCTCGTCGGGTAGGGGGTGAGGGGCGCCCGGGATGAGCGATCCCACCTTTTGAGAACAAGAAAGCCGCTCCAAATTTCTTTACATTTTGTATTCGAATTTCAATTCACTCCCGAGTTTAAGATGTTGAAATTATAAGATTGAACAACTACTACACCAATGTGTCTAAAAACTGAACTATTAAAAAGTACTCGTAATTTTTTGGATAACAAATCTATGGATCAATCTACTAATAATTTTGTGATTTTTTAAACAACAAATCTATCATGACTCTTATTACCAAACTTTGGTATGCAATTTGGTGTGATTGTAACCCCTAATAAATGTGGATCCCTATATATGTTGTACACAAAACCCATCTCAATAAGAGCAAACGTGGGCTGAGACAAGGGGATCCTATGACACCAACCCTTTTCCTTTTTTGTATTGAGTATCTCTCTAGATTACTCAACACTCGTGCTAAGGAGGGGCTGTTTTCCTACCACAAAAATTGTGCCTCCTTGGGTATTACACATTTGGCTTTTGCAGATGGTATTATGCTTTTCTCCCGGGCAGACTTCCACTCAGTGCAGATCCTTATGCATTCCTTGGAACACTTTTCAAGTGTTTCTGGTCTAACCTTGAATCCTACTAAGTCCAATATATTTATCACTGGGAGACTTAGGGATGCTAGCCAAGACATCCTGGATTTGGCCCCCTTTCCTCGTGGACACCTCCCGGTTAGATATTTGGGACTTCCTCTGGCTTCACAAAGAATCTCTGAGAATGATTATGCTCCTCTCTTCAAATCTGTGGATGGCTTTTTATCTAAATGGGGTACCTTGAAGATTTCTTATGCAGGTAAGCTTGAGTTGATCAGGGCAGTGATCCAAGGGGTCCAATCATTCTGGCTACAGGCATTCCCAGTACAGAAATATGTCCTTGATCGTATCACTTCCCTTTGCCGGGACTTCCTCTGGGGGAGTAAATTTGCTAAAGTGGCATGGTCCGATATTTGTAAACCTAAAGCAGAGGGGGGTTTGGGTCTTAGAGATGCTGAGACTTGGAACAATGCCCTCCTTTGCAAGATCCTTTGGAATATTGCATCAAAGAAGGACTCACTATGGGTCAAATGGGTGCATAATATATTTATTAAACAAGATGATATTTGGCAGTGGCAGCCTAAGAAGAGATACTCCGTCCTCTTCAAAAGGCTTGCCTATGTGCGAGAGCTTCTTGTCCAGAAGCTTGGCAGCCATAACTCCTCCATGGAAGTGGCTATGCAGACTGTGTGTGAGGGTGATAACCTTGTTCCGAGCAAGGTGTATGATTTGCTTAGGGTGAAGG